TGACAGAAGCTGCCCCAACGTTGACTATGAGATGTTTGATCTCATAACCATCTGCAAAGCTATCCAGACTAGCAATATATTGAACCAAATCTTACGAGTCACCATATAGAGAACGTAAGTACGGGCTCTACTAGTTTTGTTGGATTACGTTCACTTAAAAATCAAAAGTCCATTTTATACTTTAGAGATTTAATGCGCGTCAGGATTATTACTTGATTGCACCTAGGTTGGAGATTAAAACCGAAATTTAACCAAAGTGTCGCTTCATACGCCAGGTTTTTTCCCTACATTAGTCTCTTACTTTCACAGAAATTAATCATCGGTTGAGATGATTCACTTGATTAATGAAAACACTGCTCTGACGCTTGACATAACAACGCTATTAAGACCATACACTGTTGCCACAGAGATTTCAAATAAGACTACCTTAAAAATACTCAGCAACTTTCAAAATAAGAGTACCAAGGTCTCGAATACACTTTCTGAAATACATATAGAGTGATCAAAAGTATCAAGACTAATGTCAGTTACACATGCCTGATACCAATTGTGGGGGAGAATAGGGCGCTACACCAGGATTCTCTATCGAACTCTACCTTCGGCAAACCTTTCCATTTTTGGTTCCTTTAGGATTTGAATTTCTCCATAATCCAGCTAAACTCTAAAAAAAGAAAGTGGGAGGGTCAGTAGCCCTGTCTGACACCGGTCGCTACATGTAATGCGTCTGTCAACTGTACTTCGTGCACGACTTGCAGTGTAGTCCGCCGTAAGAGTTCCGTATGATGTTGAAGATTTTCTCAGGTTCACCACAGTGTCTAATTCTTTAGAAGATTATGAGGTTCTTTACCGACGAACGTCAGAAAATAAACTGTGAATTTATCGTCGTTAATATTTTTTCTAGTCGTGCATCAGATTCCGAACCGATTCATATGGTCTTCGAAGTTGTTCCCACTTGAATTTATATCCAACTGTCCAAGATTTTACTCAAACATGATGCCAATATGCTGATAAGTTTTTGAATTAGTGTACTAACTAGAAATTCACAAAATAGCGCGACTTACAGCAGGAACAACTAGATGAGCAAAGAATAAACGCATTGTATTTACACATCAAGTAAAAAATCATTAGTTCGTACAAATACAACATATCGAAACCTATCTGTCTTCATATTTTAATCAGATTGAGAACCCTGGAGACAAGAATCAAAACCACGAGTTGCTATCGCGAATCTTGATCGGATTTTGCATTCGATGGTATCATCCGTTCGGCAACTTGAGATCGCGGCGAGACTATAATTCATGAACGACCTTTAAGCACTGTTAAATCGACTTTGCGAAAATCAACTCACAAGAATTAGTAGGTTATAAATTTGTCGGTTGTAATATAAGAACATATACCCAACTCAAACAAATTGTAATAAAAGCTTAAAAAGCATATCTTACATATTATTTATTCAGGTTAGGAAGCGTAGCAGAGTAGCTTAATTGTGACATGATCACACATTATCTATAAGAGAATTTAGGCTTTACTTGGTTAAAGGATGTTCAAAAATAAAGTTTCATTTCATTTCCTCTCTTTGTATTCTCAGTTCTTTGTATCAAATGTTAGTAAAGCATACACTTCGTTCAGTGTTATCTTAGGTTAGAATTCAGTAATGTTAAATGTTTGAAGATGCTCGAGAACCTCCAAATCTAGATTTCGTTTCAAATGATGTATATTTTATTTTCTAAAGCTTTAGAAACGCGAATTGCCGGATATGTCTTGTATATACTTTGCAGTAGGTATAAAAACTAACTGACAATAATTTCTCAAACATATTACCTTTCAATTAGACAAAATGAGAATTTTGATCTTGAAAATTGAGCAAAAATATCATAGAAAGGAGGAATACTGATATAGTTTTGAAAATAAGTATCCTATCAGTGATAAGATAAATTGGAAAGAAAAACATAATCAGAACAATCAAAAAGAAATTGTATATTAGTTCAAGGTAAAAAGTGAGCAAGCTGCTAAAAAGGGAAGGTGAACGATGTTAGAACAGATTTGGTCATTATGTAAGGTGCAAACAATTTGGAACATAATAATAATACTTCAAATAATACACAATGTCAAAGCATTGACATAGAGAATAAGACAAATTGTTGGCGTTTCAAAACATCATTCCTAACTTAACTTCTTTATTTAGATTGTTAATAATAGTTGTGATTATTATTTAATACAGATACATTAAATAAATCCCAATAACAAAATTATCCAGGCAAAATAGATCAATTATAACCTAAACCTTATGAATTATGAGCAGTCTGGTAGAACAACAGAAATAGTACATTGTATTCTTGTCCTCTGAAGAAGTAGCTTATACTAGACTACCTAACATCTATAATGTATTCTTCTACTCAGTCAAAATTAACATTATAACAAATGGTTAATTAATCCGAAATTAACAAGTTAAACTATGGTAACAACACTTTCAATCTTAACAATGATAACTTTGGATAGTAATCGAATAATTGAAAACTATATGATTCATGAGTCAATTGAAGTTAGACCACCATAGAAAACATGGAAGCACTGGGCGGCCGTCTCATCCTGGTGCGGGACTCTTCAGCAATGTGCATCCACGTTCTTGCCCCGTGAGATCCAAACCCAGGATAGTAATCAAATAATTTTTTTTTAAAACACTGATAATCTTTGTGGCTCACTTCACTGAAGAAGTATTGATCAAAACAAAAAGTCCTTGATCGATACAGTTACCAATAATCACATTGAAACATGACATAAATCAAAATTTGCTTATTTAAACCCAACTTTCTTTACTATTTCTCGCTAAGATCAAGTGATCAAATAAGATAATCACAACTGTCACAATTACAGTGAAAATCTTACATCAAAAACTCTGTTCTTCGAGGTGAATAAGTCAATATAAGTACTTACCATTTCATATCAACAACTGTCAATATTTCCAAAGTGATATTTTAAGTAACATTTTTGGAACTGATAAAAATGCATAAAACACAAGAGTTAAGAAAAAATCTAGAGATTACAGTAGAGAATAAACACAGGTATTCATAGTTAATGACAGTAAATTCCAACTCGATAAGAACAACTCAACAATGTATAGTATGCACCTAGTAAGCGGAAACATAGGGTCATATAATGTACATCATGAAAAGATAAAATCAAAACAAAAACAAAAAATAATTGATCAGCAATATTTAGATCAATAACAACATAACAAGTACTCAAAAAATCCAGATCAAAACTTCTTCCATATTTACTTCATTATATTCATTGATAACCAATCAAAATGTCGCATATTACTTATTTCTGATTGGTGTATTCATTGCCTGCCTTCGTAACAGACAGTATGTTTTATAGAGTTGTATCTAATGTAAAATGAGTTCATCTATTTAACATTAAATTAAGAAAGAGGTAGTGTTCATATACAGAATAACAAAATGAATTATTAGAAATAATTCATATCTAAAATTTATATAAATGTAACGATTTAAATTTGTGCGAACATTCTTGGTAGTTAAATTAATAATGATTACTCTAGTTGTCAGAAAACTCCACCTGGAGGCCCTCCGGCGGCTACTGCCGTTCCAAAGCCTGGATAAAGGAGAAGGGTTGGGTATGGGGTTAGCAACCCTATACCGTAGAAAACTAACTCGCTAAAAAAAACGCTGGTAGTCAGAAGGGGCATTAGCTTTGTGACTTTCAAAGGAATTCGGCTACCATTATGAGATGTCATAACTATTCTAAATGAAAATCATCTAAGTCCTAGGGCAGAATTTAAATGGTTTGAATTAATTTTTATTGGTTAGCGTTTTTTTAGTGAGTTAGCTTTCTACAGGATTGGGTCGCTAATCCCATGCCCAACCCCCCTCCTTTCCATGGGCTTGAGACTGGCAGTAGCACAACGAGAGGGGCTCCATGCGGAAAAAGAAATTAGAAAAAAGCGCTGGAAGTGAATAGGACACACATTAAGGAAAGCACCCAACTGTGTCACAAGACAAGCCCACATTTCGAATTCTCAACGTTGAAGGAGGAGAGGATAATAAATGTATTGTATTATAAACTAAATAGACTTGTAAACGTAAACCAACGTGAATCATGCCAGATAATAATTATGTCAACTAGTGTTATACAAATCCAATCAATGTTTACCTTAACTTAAAATCGTGAATTACGGAATACTGAGTTAAGGGAAGGTTATAACCCTGTCAGATCAAGATATCAATAAACGAAGTGATTCACTTTAAACTGAATTAACGGAAGAAATTCTGCGTTACCTAATTGAAATCTCAAAGATACTACAAATGTAAATTAATCATTACTTTAACTGCATCAAATGAAGATTAGTGTTCGATCTTTTTACATTATTATAACTGTTTATTGATACTATCAGCAACAACCTATTGTGGAAGAGAACAAACCAGATCCCAGCGGAGGAAGAAATTAGGAAGAAGCGTTGGAAGTGAATAGGACACACATTGAGGAAAGCACTCAGTTGTGTCACAAGACAAGCTCCTATTTTGAATCCTCAATGCTAAAGGAGGAGAGGATGACCAAAGGACACAGTACGACGAGAAATGGAGAATGACATGAGAAGAATCAACAACAATTGGTAAGAACTAGGAGGGAAGGCCCAGGACAGAATGGGTTGGAGAAAACTGGTCGGCAGCTTATGCTCCATTGTGAGTAACAAGCGCAAATAAGTAACAATTTAGATTTAATTCAAACTAACATTAATTATATAGAATAAATTAAAACAAATAGACAAAAGTTAAAACAAACAAGAAACAATTTTAGTTTTTGCAAAAACAAAAAAAACTACAGAACAACAGAAAAAAAAAACGATTTGAACAGGAACACTTATATTATCCATCTTTATACCTACTGAATGTCAGGATTTGAAAAACCAGATCGTTTAGAAGCAATAAATTTTGCTGTAATATTAGTCGATATTCGTATATCAGATACAAAAGATTCTTGTCTCATTGTAATTAAATAATTGAGTAGATTTGACCATGTTTTAGCTTCATTATATAATTTATCATCTATTTTCATTTCATAAATTTGATCATAATTTATATGATGAATAATGCCCAAAATGATTTCAAAGTAATCAATCATAGGGAAGAGGATCAAATCAGCCAAACTCAATTGATCTCCTGGATATGAATAAGAAATATTGTTTTTAAAAAAAAAGATTATGAAATATTAGAACTGATCAGATGGTTGGAAGAAAGTTAGGGGCGGCCAAACCAAAACTTGGCATCAGTGCTTGAAGTCACTAACTTCTAGTCTGAGCCATGTTGGTAGATGCAGTCTACTTGGTTGGGGTCCGTGTGACTATCGTAACCAATGGTTGGAGACTCTTGGTGACATGGCTCAGAATCGATCACAATGGTGTCGGTGTATACACTGCCTGTCTTTACTTAAACTATGAGATTAAAATTATTTCATATCTTTCATTCCACCAACTAATTCTTTCTTCCCGTACTATATCCTTAGATGCAATCTTTCTCCTATATATTACCACCTTTGACCTAACCACTCCTATGAATCCGGTGTTCATCTTGTTGTGCTGATGCGGCATGGCAACCTGGACCGATGCACATATGTGCCTGGTCCGACGTCGTAGCTGAATGACTGACTGATTAGAACTGATCTACATATTACATACTGGGAAATAGGCATTTTTTTGACGATCACTGAAATTTACATCACTATGTTTAAGTTTAATAAATTCAAACATGACGAATCACATTCCGATAGCATCCACATCCTGCATTTATATCCCGATGGAAGAAACGAAGGAATAGTCGGTTTATGACACAGTACTATGATATGAAAGAAAATTGTGTAAGATTGGCATCTGTCAGTCCATCACGATACTCTTGTTGAAGTCTTAAACATTCTGTAACTTACTGCCTTAAGAACATTATCAAACATAGTTCAAAGTGAAATTGATAAACAATGCTATATTGTAAGTTTCCTTTGCATGAAATGACTAACTGAAAGAATTCTCTTTGTTGCATCTGTTAATTGAACTGCTATTTCTACTAAACTATTCTTGTCTACTTATTAATTGTTTAATGGCACTCTTTATAACAAACTCAAATTGAAGAGTCATTGATCTAATAAACTGTTTCATCTAAACAAAAAATGTGATATTTTATGACAATAAAGAATACAAATGGCTTATAAAAAGTATATGTTTATGAGTATAATTCAGAATTTAGAAAATACTACTGAATTTTCAAACAAAAAAATAACTCCAGTTACCAAGTTCATGTTTACTCTTTTAGGTAAACATTTTATGTGTGCCGGTTAGAGATACTACAACATTGTTTCTTAAATTGAATTTGATCAAATGAAGTTTAAATTGGTAACACTAAAAATTAGAATTTCATTGTTTAAGTCAATAAAACAATATTTTGCATTCCATTAGACATTCCTGAACACCTATCTTAATTAGCAGAAAACTTTCATGACAAATCAATATCAGTAAGAGAATCGGGAATTGCTGAATAGGCTTTATCACTTCCAAAGCATACATGGAAGTGAACTCAAGGGATATAATAGTTAATGTACTGTCTAACCACTAAATAGGAAATGAATCCTTGCAGTATACAACTCCAGTTAATATGTGACATAGCATAACGATCACATTCAATGTCATAGGCATCTTTCGTCATTGTTGACAAAGTTGGTTACATAGGTTACAAATTTTGCACTAATATTCTTCATTATTTAAACACATAAACATTAGTATCAGACGGGGTTTTGTGGAGATTGCAATAATTTCAACAGTTGAGATCATGAATCAATTGAAACTAGATCACCATGGAAAACATGGAAGCAGAGGACGGCAGTTTCGTCCTATTGTGGGATTCCTCAGCAGTGCGCATCCACGACCCCGCCTCGTGGGATTCGAATCCAGGGCCTATCAGTCTTGCGCTAGGCGGTTAACCACTAGACCACTGAGCCGGTATCCAACGGCGTTAATGTTCAACTTCAACTAATCCACGAAATTGAGCGACACATTCACCATTGTCATCAGTGAGTTACTATCCCACAACTGACCCGGTTGAGCATAAACATTAGCACAAGGAGGCACCGAATAGATATGCCTCACACAAATCAAATAATTTGTGTGAGGACTGGGATACTACCCGGGTGCCCAGTTCGAGACAGGTGGTTTTCTTAGGGTGCCACATCCAAAGCCTTTGGCCTAACGGTCTAATCCACAAGGCAGTGGAGCAACGTAAGGAGGTGCAGTCCCATGGTGACCAGTGATCAACAACTGGCTCATACGCCATTTCCCCCCTGGAATCGTGGGGCTCGTGTGCAACATTGGTTTACGACCAGGGGTTTTCCAACTCCCCTAGGTGGATCCACCTTCACCACCAACCCGGTTAAAGCACCGGACATTTGCTTTTCGTCCTCTCAATTTTGTAAACAATACGCCCGTTGTGAGAAGGCAGTGAGTAGGACTTCCCTGACAGTGGCTGTATACGCGTGGCCATGTGAAGGCACTTGAAGAGAGGAAGAGCTGATTCTCCCCAACCTCGGCCGTATTAAAACATTTGAGGGTGAAGCTTGTGATGGAAGTGGGATTCTAACACACACTCTTTAGGACTTGTGCTTTAAACTATCGCCTTAGATCGCTTGGCGATTCCACCTATACAAAGTTTGCACTACAGTTGATATATGAACAGTGATATCAACGATAACTCTTCACAACAATTCAACACAGAGTATTTCTTTCGTGAATTCCATTACCTCTTAAAAAGACTGGAAAATACCAAAAATGATTATTTTATATTCGAAATCATTCAATTGTAAACCGATTGCACTTAAAGATTATTGAAAAATTCGTCAAATGAATGGAAAAATTAACATTGAGTTAATTAATACAAATAAAAGTGCACTAATAGTAAATCGAACGATAATCGCCTTAAATCCATATTGTCTGACTTTACAATTGAGTTTTTCGCATAACATAGTATTTGGGGATTTCGCATTCCCTTGATTATTCTTTTGCGGTGTAAATCATTACTGTATACTGATTTACTATCTCATTGATTGGTTGCAAAAATCCACTGAATAGTAATTCTTGGGATTAAATCTACTAAAATTCGTATTGTATAATCCTCTTTCTAAGACTTACTTATTCCCACATTATTTAACCATAAGTAAAGAAGACATTATTCATTATGGGGTTGTGAAGATTAATGAATTTTATTCGGATCATGAACTGGTCCAAGATATAAAACCATTGAAAACGTAAAAGCAAGGAACATCAGTCTTGTCCCCACTAGTGAGTATTCACAACCCCACTGGGGAAAGAACCTTTCAGTATCACATAAGAACACTTAACCTCTAAACCACTGACCCTAGATACAAATGGTGTACAAGTCTAACGTCAAGAAACCCAAAACATTGTGTAACCATCTGTTATTGTCTGAATGGACACTTATGAGAAGTTACATACCAAGATGAGAGATAATTTTGCCTTCAAATTCCTGAATGATACTGCCTAATGTGAATATTATATCGAGAATAAAAAGAAAAGAGGAGTAAATAAGAAAAAAAAGAGGATCACTCCACCAACTAACCGGCAAAATATTTACTATTGATTGAATTATCCAATTCAGAACAAGCTTCACGGAATTTCACTACATCCAATTCACTAACGGTCACTCCATATAATATAGAATATCCAGGACTGAAAAACTGAAATAGTTTAACAGGAAAAAACGAGCCATTATTGCCAAGATAAAAAAAGCTTAAATCATGAATTTAATACAGTTTGATTGAGACACAATGGTAACATGAAGATAATTAAGTAACTGATGTTACATACTGATAAGTGGTTGAAGGTTTTTGACAAGAAACCCTGACCTTAGATTTAGTGCAATCTTCCATTCGTTAGCAAAAAAAGCCTGCAATCTTGGAAGAACTGTCGCTTCCTGTGTGATTAGAAAGGTATCCAACCCCAGTTTCTTTTACTTTTTTTCATAGAAATGAATATAACTTCTTTAATTGAAAGAATTCTTTCTGGTTATATTTTTGCTAACTGAACTGTTTCATCCATTATTATTATTATTATTTCACTCTCATACACAAATTCCTCTTCATTGTTAGCTTTTTTTATTGTATTCACCCTATATTCTCTTCCTCTTCTCAACCTCATTGTTACTGTGTGACGCATATGTATTTGGCGCCCCCCTAGTACCAATGAAATTGAACTGGATAGGAGTCCGTTCTATGATAATACTAGAAGATAATAAAAATACTCAAGTGATATTGTAAAAGCCATCAGAATATCAAGTAAATCAAAAGTTGATCATTAAATACTCCATAGTTTAATATCACCGGTTGATGTCAGAAACAAAAGCTACTGAGTATCAAAGAGTACTAGACAGTCCACTAATCAAAAACTTCAATACAGATTGTAGCAATTTAAGAAAGAAGCGATCACTGATTCAATACAACCGAGAGTAAGGGAATCATCGTAAAATACCAATTAATAAATGTATTGTATTATAAACTAAATAGAGTTGTAAACGTGAATGATGCCAGTTAATAATTATGTCAACTAGTGTTATACAAATCCAATCAATGTTTACCTTAACTTAAAATCGTGAATTACGGAATACTGAGTTAAGGGAAGGTTATAACCCTGTCAGATCAAGATATCAATTAACGAAGTGATTCACTTTAAACCGAGTTAACGAAAGAAATTCTGCGTTACCTAATTGAAATCTCAAAGATACTATAAAATGTAAATTAATCATTACTTTAACTGCATCAAATGAAGATTAGTGTTTGATCTTTTTACGTTATTGTAGCTGTTTATTGACAATATCAGCAACAACCTATTGTGGGAGAGAACAAACCAGATCCCAGCGGAGGAAGAAATTAGGAAGAAGCGCTGGAAGTGGATAGGACACACATTGAGGAAAGCACACAACTATGTCACAAGGCAAGCCCCCATTTCGAATCCTCAATGCTAAAGGAGGAGAGGATGACCAAAGAACACATTACGACGAGAAATGGAGAATGACATGAGAAGAATGAACAAGAATTGGATAGAACTAGGAAGGAAAGCCCAGGACAGAGTGGGTTGGAGAATGCTAGTCAGCGGCCTATGCTCCACTGAGAGTAACAGGCGTAAATAAGTAAGTAACTGTTTATTATCAGATACTATACAATTTATTATAATAAAACATAAGATATATATATGTATATAACTCCGCCTGGAGCCTCGCTGGAGCTACTACTGGTCCCAAGCCCGGACAAAGGAGGGTTGGGCATGGGGTTAGCGACCCTATCCCGTAGAAAGCTAACTCGCTAAAAAAACACTAGCCAGTAATATATACGAATAACAAACCTTTTTAGCTAATTCAGCCGCATTTTGAAATTTCTCTACACCACATATGCTCATCAATGAAGATTTTTCTCCATGTAATTCATCCACAAATCGCATAATTAAATCAGATTCAAGAAGTTTATCACCTTGATTTATAAGTAGTGGAACTTTACCCAACGGCGAATATTTCATTAACCAATCTGGTTTATCATTAAGTGAGACTTGAATTAAATCATAGCTAAGTAAATAATAAACAGATAAAATGAAGTGGGAAAATATGTAACTATATAGGAGTGAATAATAAAAATAAAAAAGTTTCTCCACATGTGGAAAAATTCAAACACTTAACTTCTATCTGAATTTTGCGTTGATGATGTCGTTTAGAAGAACGATGAAAGCTCCACGACCAAACCATACAGCTCAAAGAACAAAACTCCATTAAAATCATCCACCTGAGCTATAAATCTTCCCCACCACTCAGAATATATTTTTCTAGTTAGCGTTTTTTAGCGAGCTAGTTTTTACGGGATAAGGTTGCTAACCCCATGCCCAAATCTCCTCCCTTTATCCAGTCTTCGGACTGGCAGCAACCCCAGAGGGGCTCCAGGTGGTGTTCATGTAAAATATTACTATAGATAAATGATAGTCAATTGTTTTAGTCAACATTATAATCTCCAAGATTACATAATATTCAACTCAAAATAACAAAAAACATATTGCAGTCAAATTATAAGTTCGAAAATTTAATGGACAAGATTGAAGGATCTATACAAGTAACATGGAAACTAGTGAAGGCTAATCATTCCGTAGTTCTAATAATAACAACAACTCTGCCTGTAGCTCTTCTAGAGTTACTGCCAGTCCCAAGGAGGAGGGTTGAGCGTGGCGTTAGGGACCCCATCCTGTAGAAGACTAACTAGCCAAAAAGAACGCTAGCCAGAAAAATTAAAAAGTAATAATAACAACAACAAAACATCGTCAAATAACATATATCACGAAATTCCATTTTCATAGTTATGCAACATTTCTACATTGTGAGAATAGAACTTATTTCATGTGTCTGTCAAAGCATCAAACTAATCATTGATTTCTGATCGAAAAATAGATCACATTTTTTGTAGGTGACATTCGTCACAGATTAATCTCTATTGAGCTATCATTGAGAAGGAGGAAGCACTGGAAAGCTGTTTCGTTCTTTATTCTGAAATATTTTTTTATATTTCTAAGTAAAGGTACTAATTAAGATGTGTATGAAACGTGGAAATTTAGATACAATGCTAACCACAATAACTGATTATGTAACTATAAGCAAAGTTGGATAGTGCCTAGCAGTGGAATCCACGACGTGCGTTTCGTCCTATTTATTTACATATGCCGATGATTACATATTTTTCAGTATATCCTTGGAATCACCCATTCAGGATGCGAGTCCCGTGCCATCCTTTTCAAAGATACATGCGAAACTTGGAGACTTGAAATAGTGATTATCAAGTAAACTTTTTTTGGCTGATCCTGATCAAATTCTCCAGAAATATTTATTTTTTTAGTAATACCTTAACTGTTTGTATGCACATTTATGCTACACAGAGATCCTATTGACGTCTGCATAAAGAGACGCATTTGGGTCAGTTATTTAACTATTTATCTCTACTAATATCGTGAACCACCCAAAGAAAAATACATAGCGTTTAATGGAGAAAACTTAGTATAGTGTCCACTTACCTTAGAAAGCTAATTACTATAATTATTAATACTACTAATATAGAACATTGATACAGGCATTTACAGTTATGCTTTGAAATTTCAAACTTATTTTAATGATCCAATGTAAATTAAAGATTGAACGGTATTAAAATACTTATACATTCACTTGGAAGACATATAGTCAACTAAATTTTTTATGACAATAATAAAATCAACACTAATCACCGGTGATTATTGATATAAGAGAATGAAAATAAGCAATTTAAGGTAATTTCTTGTTGAACTTTATGGCCCCCAAATACCCTGGTATGGCCGAGAGTGGGGAGAGTCAGATCTTTTCGAAATGATCTCACATGGTCACGAGTATACTACCACTATCAGGGAAGTCCTATCCAAGTATTAAGTAGTCATGTAATCATAAATGAATACATTTAAGTCTTAAAAACCATATTGAGAAATCAACAGGTTCGTTAACATGTTGATACCCAATGTGCTTGTGAAATATTAAACTCTCCAATACCATTAAGTTTACATGTAGAATCTTTCGGATATGAGATTTTCCCCTACGAAGTCTAGTCAAACATAGTAACTTATATTAAAGTTTTTGTTAAAGTAGAAATAATCTCTCAATAACTAAACATTCTTTTTAGTAGTCAAAAATAGAAAATAAATCTTCAAACTTACTCAATTTTATGGAAACTTAAGATCAATTTAACACGTACACAGAATGGACAAAAACGAAAGGCAAATAACGTATATCTAGTTGGATCAACAAACGGTTCTGGATCACCTAAAATAATTATCATCAAGAAAATCAATACTTTTTTCTAAAAAAAAAACAATAAATCTTGTATGTCAATTACCTTTATTCTTAATTATTACATCATGGAAAATACTGATAAGATTTATCATTCGTAATGATAGAATCAACCTTAAACAATATTTTAATGATTTTTGACCTTATAATAGAGAATAGTCAACCAACATATTCTTTCTTGTCAAACTTTAATGATTCATAAAATATTTGATTAAAAGTACTAGTAGATGTTAGAAAACTAAACATTTATCAAAGAAATACAAATGTTATTTCAACAGTTGAGATCATGAGTCAATTGAAGCTAGATCACCATGGAAAACATGGGAGCAGAGGACGGCAGTTTCGTTCTATTGTGGGACTCCTCAGCAGTGCGCATCCACGACCCCGCCTCGTGGGATTCGAATCCAGGGCCTATCAGGCTCGCGCTAGGCGCTTAACCAACAAGACCGCTGAGCCGGTATCTAACGGTGTTAATGTCTAACTTCAATTAATCCACGAAATTGAGCGACACATTCACCATTGTCATCAGTGAGTTCCTATCTCACAACTGACCCGGTTGAACTCCACTGGTCACTACTTCTCACTAGAACTCCAGGCTATATCTCTTGAAGCCAGTCACTAGTGAGCATATGTTGATTAGTATCAGAATGTAAATTGAATAGCATTTAAAAACCTCATCACTAGGTTATTTAAAATTGTTTTTTTGTGAGAAAATACTTAAATTTCTTGGTGAATGGAGGATGAAATAGACTTTCAAGTATTTTTGATGTTATTATTTAATTGGATTTTTTCTGTGAGTATCATTTATGATATGATTGCTTTTCGAATAATTCCTTAAAATGGGAAAACATTTTTATCTTACATTTCAGTGGCTAGTGATGATATGAACATTTGTAACTCATTAATGAACTCCTGTTATATGGGACTAACTAAGATCATCTTCACAGGTCAACATTAGTAGAATACCACTGAAAACTATGAAGCACTGGAAAGATATTTCATACCACAATAGGGATTCTCAGAATTGTAAAACAACCTTTCTAAAAGTTTAGCCCAATCCATGAACACCACCTGCAGGTTGAAAAATGAATGTCTACAGAATCCACATATCAAAACACATGGTAAAAAGGTTGGTTTGTCAATTTCCTGATTGATTTCACTAGGCTGAGAATGATTACCAGTAAAGGGACAATGGGAAGCTAACAGATAGATTCGAAGTAAAATATACAGTGCCATGAAATTGCACAGCTACTAAACTTTAATATAACCAGTGAAAAGAACCGAAAATAGTCACATGTGTAGTATATATATATATATATATATAAATAAAACTAAATGTGAAGCACTAGTCGAAATAAAAAGTTAATCAACAAATGTGAGAAATGGTAATGAAAAAAAACAGAACCTACCATTTTTAAGATGCATCATTAATGTATGTTTTGAAAATACTTTGAAGAATGATAATGAGGCGATGCGTTAAAAACGACAATGATATGTGAACACACTGAAATACAATGTAATACAACATAATAGCCAACATTAGACATAAACAGCATTTCTAGGTGAAAATCAAATGATCACGAAACGGTTGTCTGAATAAGGGAAATGATTTACTTTATGTAATTATCATAAATACAAACAAATATCAAAAAGGAATTAACCCCAGAGAAGAGTAAACTGTGAATTTCCGAAGGATCGACTACCATGGTAGCCAAAAATTGGCCTGATCACTTGGAGTTTATTCCGAATCCTTAAACAAAGAACCAAATATTTGAGCACAAGAATGATCATTTATTTTTTATTTATTTTAACACATAGATATTAGTACAAGGAGGCACCAAATACATATGCGCCACACTAATCTCATTCGATATGTGTGAGGGCTGGGATACTGACCGGGTACCCAGACAGGAACACGTGGTTTTCTTAGGGAGTCAAACTCGGCACCTTTGACCTAGAGGTCTGATTCACAAGGCAGTGGAGCATCGTAAGGAGATGCAGTCCCATGGTAGCCCGTGACCAACGATTGGCCCATACGTCATTTGTCCCCTCAGGATACTGGTGCCCATGTGCACCATTGGTTTGGAATCAGGGTTTTCCAACTCTCCGTGTTCACCAACCTGGTTAAAGAGCCAGACATTCGCTTTTCGTCTTCTCAATTTCATAAAAGACAGTAACGCCACGAGAAGGCAGTGATTAGGACTTCCCTAAAAGAGGCTATATACGCGTGGCCATGTGAGAGCATTTGGAGAGGCAGAGTGGACTCTCCTCGAGCTCCCAATATTGAGGAAGCTGCCATAGCAAACCGGAATCTTATTGGACTTTGGGGAAGTGCGCCTGTATTTATTAAGAAAACCCCAAAAACTTTCACAATTTTGGGAGCATAAGTCCCCACTCTCGGCCATACCAGGTCATTTGAGGGCTTCGCTATTGTTCTAAGATAGAAAAATCAACAAGCTCTAAGTTCCGCTAGTTATGAACAACGTAATACTAACTAGAGTTTAAAAACATATCAAGAGATAAAAACTGAAGTCGGAAATGAGACATATACATATACGTTTTCATATCATCAACGCCACCTCGCTAAAGCCACAGTTTTAAAACGAAAATTTTTGGTTTCGATGGCATTTACCACGGTCGCTATAACGTAAATACAATAGTATATTTTTACTAGTTCTGCTTGACAGGACCAACCTATTTGCAAACCCCTCCAAAAACCAAAGTTCTATAAGTTCTCACGATGATTCTCAAGGTTATTTGACACTCAATGAATTCACTAAACAATGTTTCAGTGTCAAGTTAATGTACACCGAATGACTTTTCTCAGCTCTCTCATTGCCACCACGCTGACATTACGGACTGAAAAATTACACTTTCACACTTCAACTTATAATTACAGGAATAGCTTATTTGCACTTTCTTGCTGATAGTTATCGACTGATTTCAAGTGCATTATGTGTGTTTAGAGTCGTAAACTCCTTTTTCTGTCAGTTTTTCAGTTGAAAGCCGCAAGCTTGTATTTCAGTTTGCATAATACTCTAGTGACCGCCGTAACCCTAGTCGAGACATTAACCGATACTAATAAAATGATAGCGGTAATTAAATCCCCAAAATCACTAAGTCATCGACATTTGGTGCTGAGTGCATTAGTTTTAATGGATTCACCTAGCTGAAAGCGCTCGGTCAATTATCCGCACCAGATCACGAGTGGACACACTGTTCCCTACTTCTCCAGTAAACCGCTAAACAGCTTAGATAAGTCAATTCTTGATACATCGATAGCCTTTCAAACACATCTTCGAACCTCTGTTTCTGAATTCCGATTCAAGTGGGTCGACAAGTTACAATTACAGGTGTCACTGGTTGAGGTGTTGTCAAGCTCCAAGAACTTGTGGCATTTTTGCACATCTAGATATTTCGAGTTGTCCAATCGTATATTCTAGTCACTCATTTGTGCTAACCCTAGTGAATCCAAAAGTTATTTAAATGTTCAATATCTTTGCCATGAGCTTACAAAATTCGATTGAGTTCTTTGTAAATAAAGCAAGAACAAATATTGGTGCAGAATAGTATGAATTCATATTATTTCGAGGTTTCTCTTCAGCTGCTTACAAACCAAAAATGTGATAGAATCTTTACATTGAGATAGAGTGAGAACAATTGACATAGATGAGCGTAAATAACTGGGTTACAATAATAACTATATATATATGCTAGAACAGGCCAGAGGTCAAAAGGAATTAATTCAGTTTGGGTGGTGTAATAATGGAATTGAATAATCATAAGATAGGTTACGTAATAACAATTAAATAGAATTTTAAAAGTTAAGATAATTAAGAGGATCAGGTGGTGGGAATGTGTGAATAATAATGTGGTTTAAGAATTATGTAGTATGGGAGGAGTATAAATATTTTAGAATAAATAAAAAAATAAAATAAAATAAATAAAAAGGGTTACCGGGGTAGTGATAAGTTAATTAAAGTCTGTTTTTGAATGCATAAGTCAGGTTTAAGATTTTTGGTAATAATGGCTTCAGCAAAACGGGGGGTGTTCGTACTTTCTTGTCTATTGATAATTTTGAAAGCATGCGGAATGTCGATGGTGTGCCCGGTGTCAAGTAGATGTCGAGCTATTGCGCTGTTGAATGCCTCAAGTTTTTTTGAACATGCTCAGAAATGCGGACATGCGCTCTTCTCTCAGTTTTTCCAATGTATTTGCTTTGGCACGTACATGTAAACTGGTAGATGCAGTTGAAGCTACTAAGGAAAGAGGGCTTATCGATTTTGATTTGTTGAAGTGAGCAGTTCGTTTGCCATACCGTCATACGTTTTGCTGCTGGGTAGGTCACTTTCAACGCAGAGTTTATTCTGTGAATAATTATTACAGCAATTTCATCACCTTTGAAACGTAAGTGTAAGAAGCAGGTTTTCTTTTCTACTCTATCGTATTTTGTATGAGGATTGCTTTTTGCATATTTCTGGATAAATTTCAATGGGTATTCATTATCACTTAGAACATTAGTAATCGGATTAATTTCATTATCAAGGTATTCTTTTGAACAGATTTTTTGAGCGCGGTCAAAAAGTGTTTGTACAATACCCTTTCTTTGTGTACTCTTTTTGTCGTTTCGGTACCAGACCTAAAGCGGGTCATTTACATCCCCTCACCTTCTGACGTTAACAGATATCAAACGCAGATATTTAATGGCCGTAAGGAACAGATGGAGAAGCCTGAACATGCTAATCATCGCAGAGGTGCAAGGGTCTATGCTACATGGTAGCCAATGCACCTGTTGTACATCTTGTTTGTGATGTTCACCCCAAATACCGCACAACAGCACAGGAACTCCGTGGACCATTGTGTCTGTTTGTTCCTGTGTGTTCATTGGTCCTCCAAAACAGTTCCTTATGACTTAAGGATTTTCGTGTCCAACTTGAATTTTAGAGGAATCAGATATATCATTAAAATTTCTTCTATAACTTGTGCTAAAACAAAAGGTACCCTCAACGAAAGGGGTTATCTTTCCCTAAGTTTTGTCCCTTATACAGACAGCATAGATTGACTGAATTGATAATCTTACCACGGAATTTGTCCCCCGGCTCAGTATCGACGATTACCCTACTTCCTAGCAAACTACATTCAGACATTGAGAAATCGAGCCAGGGAGTTTTGTCTAACGTCTTTGTCCTTCAATTACGGGGCTTTGCGAGCCATACTTTTGCCAATTTTCTTATCAACGCCCACCCATTGCCATGTACTGTTGTCAGATAATGGGGTATCAGTAACGGACGGTAATTTCGTTGTTGTATTGTGGTGTGTGCTACTTATATTGATATAAATAGTATATGATTTTAGTCGTGAACAGAAGGCCTGACGGCAGAGAGACAAGAGGATCGAACAGTAAAGAATGGAAACAGGATGCAATTTGTATGAAAATGCAAGAACATAGAGGTCTGAGGGATTTTGAGACAATTGATGGACATTCGGCAAATTAAGTATTTACTATATGATTGTTAGATTTTATTAACAAGTCCTGTAATTTTGTGTTAAATACATCCGACTGTCCACACGCGTGTTCCTGTTCACTACAATATGAGCTCGGTTTGTGGCTCTTATAATCACGTGTTTTGCTGTAGCTGTGCCAAACAAATTCGGTGTAGTGGAGGTAATGGCTGCGATTATATTTGATTGGGTTTTATACCTCATGTTTTTTCTGTATCAGGACCGTCATTTATCTCAAAGTACGGAGGGATAAGTACGTTTCGAATAGTTCTAACAAGAATTCAAGGGTCCGCATGCTTAAATGCCTCCAAACAATGTGGCAAATGATCTAGTCCTCCGCTGCGTTTCCTCGAAGGTCATCGTTAGTGTCCAAGCCTTCAGTTTACATCAGATTCCAGGGGGTGATAAACTTGGGCGAAATATGTTGCCTGACGCATCATAGTAACTTGGTATACCATTCGATAATTTTAGGGACTGACTGTCGAATTGTTCTTTTGAGCTGATACTAAGTCTCATTCACATCTTATGGTTCTTAACAGTTTGATATTGTTCGCGAAGATGAGAGCTCAGAAACCATGATTTTCTGGAAGACCGTTGATCAGAATGAGAAAGAACATCAAGTTCAATATACTGTTTGTAAACCTAAAAACATGGGCCTTCTGGACTATGGTCACATTTCAATATTTTTGGGTAAGAATGCTTGGTTTTACATGTGGTTCATTACCAAGGGATCTGAGAACCTTATTCTTTCAACTTTATCTAGTGTGAAGGGCTACGGTATGGCAAAAGTACCGGGAGTAGGAGAAGCACTTTCCGATCACAGCAATCTGTTCACCAGTCTCAGCTTAAAGGGGCGTTTGTAACATAAGCACTACATTCCCTAGAGCCATTCTGTACATCATGAAAGAGTTAAGGTGTTCCTTTGT